ACAAGGAATGTGATGCTACTCCTCTTAAATTGGTCATGCCCAGCGCAGGAAGCCACATGATTTTCTGATTCAAAATGATCAATACTACTCCATTTCAGCTCTCTAACATCTAGGATCTCAATCTTTATATGTTCCATTTCGTTTCTGATGACTCTCAATTTTCCTAGATTCACACTTTGTACATTCCCAGCTCCAATTATTTATGAATAGATTTCTGTAGCTGTTTCTTCTCAGCGTGGGTCATGCCCCATCAGTAGATAAAGGTCCGGAAAGCTTTACCCCATCGATGTCATTAGGGCCACCTCTACCTTGAGAAGGCAGCTCTTCCTCAGTCCTGGTTTAGTGTCTTCTGATCTGAAGAGTTCATCTTCTGGAACGATCTCTGACAACCCTCTTCTACTGCTCCTGAGGCTTTCAGGATCTGACAGTGTTCTGCTGTGACCCATACAGTTTTCCACGGCTAATTCTTCCGAACTGGACAGCCTAGTCCGTCTTCATAGTCTGTTCTTAATCTAGAAGCTCTGCTGAAGCCTGTTCATGTTGGTCACCTGCTGGTATTTGAAACCCCAGTGACATAGCTTCCAGCATCACAGCATCACATAAGCCATTGCCTTACGACAGACTGACAGACACGTAGTAGGAATTGCCCTTGAGCATGGGTAAATTAAGGATGGAGCATCCACAGGGTGGATTACATAAGCCTCAAAGGGGCTCCTGGGGGCTATTCAGTGAGACATAGACATGCTGGACACACACGCGGCCATGGAGAAGGACATGCTCTATTTGCACAGGGGGCTTTCAAATATAAAAACTCATCTCCGTCTCACAGAGACGAGGAAGGCACCAACATTGATCAGCTACTATTTCTGGGAAAGGGCTGATTTCAACTGCGTTCACTACACTTCTATGGATTGTACATGAAATGCATTGTTTTCCTAATTAGAACACAACCTTGCAGACCATTCTGAGAGATCACCAAGAGGATGTTCCACACTGGTCACATGGCAGATGTAAAGGGACCAAAGGGACAGAGGGGGAAGTGAGTTTCCACAAGTCGGCAAAGGATCCAAGAACATCTGACTAATAGAAACCATCTTCAGCACAATTGTAGTTGCAAGCAATAGCTATGCTATTGATCTATAAGCTGTGCATTCTGTTGAGTCACCTGTCTTTGAGGACGATTGAGAGTACCGTGGACTGCCAAGAGAACAAACAAACCTGTCTGGGAAGAAGTACAGCCAGCATGCTCCTTAGAGGACAGGGTGGTGAGAACTGCCTCACGTCCTCTGGACATGCTATCAGGGAGACCAGTCCCTGGAGAACGACCTCATGCTTGGTAAAGTAGAGGAAGGCCCTCAGAGAGATGGGTCGACCCAGGGGCTACAGAAATGTGCTCAAATATGAGAACAATTGTGAGGCCGGCTCAGTGTTTCATTCGATTGTACGTAGGGCTGCTAGTCAGCCAGAACTGTCTAGATGGTCCCTAATGACAATGTCAAGAGCAAAGCAATACCTATAACAATAAAAATGATAAGAACCACAAAATCCAGTAAGAGCAATAGCTAACATTTTGAGTGCCTGGGATGTGTTAGAAGTACCCTAAGTTCTTTCAGCAGAGTCCACTCAGTGAGGTTGGTACTATTCTTGTGTTTATTTCACAGAGAGGCAAGCAAAAGTCCAAAGAAGTCAGGTAACCTGCCCAAGAGCTCGCACCTTCAGAGAGGAAAGATGCACAGAGGATATGTTCAGGGACCTCTACCCAACCGCCTGGCATCACAGAGCTAAGTGGCTCTTGCTCTGTGGAGTTGGTCCA